TGTTTGAGTTGTAATGTTAAAGTTTTCATATTGTCTTGTTCTCGTGAAAACCAAAGTAAAATTTACCTGATCAATAAGGGTACATCATATGTTACGGACAGGTAACTACACGAAACATGGTCTACGATTCTTTACTTCATCCATAGTACTACGATTTTTCAATTATGGTAAGGGCCGTTATAAGTGCAATTTTCTATGCTGTTTGAATAATAGACCTATTCCACAATTTTGGACTTAACATGATACGACTACCTAACCTATAATAACTTATGTGGAAGTCTCATCATTATGTATGCTGACTCGTCCTATCGTGACAGTCGGCGATATAATGTTTAGCACTTCTGAAAGACACACTTGAGCTGGAGGTAGAATAATATATTCTATGTGGGAAGGAATGATTTACACAGAGTGACCACGCCTAAATGGTCAAACCATTCCATTTCCAATCCTGTTTGCTCATTTGCCACTTCTGATGTCTCTATGCTAAGTGTTGATTGCAAATTTTCCCATTCTATGCTCGGATTCTAGGATCGTGCGGTGAGAAACTCTATCATTTCAGGATCATAACTACAGGAGATTAATGTGGCAGCATTATTTTACTCCTGTGAGTAACTAATGTACGTGATCTGTTTGGATGGTCAGTTTTCTAGAGTTGGATGTGAATTGTCTGACCTCCTGGCTTACGTAAAGCCACACCATAAGGTTGATACCTAACCGAGCTTATGCATTTTTGATGATTAAATGTACTGGTTTCTTAGGTGAATATGATGATGAAACAAAACCCTGCCGTATCGTTGGGATGCATCGGTAAAAACATATTAAATAATCATAGCGTGAGACCATTGCTAAATTATCTTTCTATGGTGGGTCACTTCCCAATATGTATTTGACATACTTGGCCTTGATACTATTCAGTAAACTGTTCAGTGTTCAGTGATTCTTCACGTTGCACGGACGATTTAAATCATGACTACTAAAATCCAGACAATATTCGTTGTGCATTTAGGTGAAATGACATGAGCACCATTGAGATTTCTTCGTATAGAGTTACCTAAAATTGATTTCTGGATGGCTTCCTGTTTGTGCTTGCATCTTTTGAATTATTACATCATGTCATTCCGTGTGCGGTATGTTGAGAGACTGAAATAGAGACGAAGACACGAGATGTGCAACCCAGTACAAACATTCTTATTACGTCACCCAAGCTTTTCGCATTAAGTACAAATTAAGTATCGTTCTTTCGTCAACATGACTACATAATTCGATAGTTGAAAGGGCTTTCAATATTGAAGCTCGAATGAGTTTGAACTATTCATGCAAAACTTAAAAACGAGTTGGAAAGATTTTTCATGAGAGACGTAATATAACAATAACTCAAATAACCCTTCTAAGCTGCAACACTTTCAAAATTCGCCTATTTACTTCTATGACTTACTTGTTAATCTGAGCTGCGGATTAACTAAGTGTATTTTGCAATGTTGCCAACAATTGTGCGTAGTGGTAAATAAGTCTTTTAAATAAAATTACCGTAGCTACTCAAAAGTGATGCTGACCTCACTAATTTTACTGGACACACCTATCTGAAAGCGCTCGTTCGTGCATATGCACCAGATCACGAGTGGGTACGTCGTACTACACATCCCTTGCAACTGTTGGCTGGCTTAGACTAAATACTTACCACATATATCTCCAAACCCACACATTTCTGACTTCTGATATGACTGGGTTGGGATACTTCGATTATAAAGGTGTTACTTATAAAGGCAATGTAAAAACTATCACATATTGCATCTCTAATCCTACTCAACATGCACGCATCACAGAATAAGCCAGGCAGTGCATATCTTTAAAATCTGTCGAGCAGCTTTAAAGATAAAACCTACCCGCCAGCCAAAACAGGGAACATTTTCAGCCCACCACTAAGTACTCTAATGTTGTACAAGTTAACTAAGGATATGCCGGATTGCGAGGCCAAACATTTGAGACAAAAAAGTCTGATATAGTGAAAAGTCTGAGAGCGATACTGGAAACTATGCTAACAAGTAATCCTTCGAAATGCCTTTTGTAATCATCGAACCAACAGAAGAATGTCATGTACGACAAATGCTAACATGTAATATGCATCCAGTCTGTATTTTTATCACTGGGCCTGTGAATCATATGTCTGGATTCCACACTGACCCAATTTAGTTATGATAAAGGTCCATTCCACATGGTAAGAGAGCACAGTGCCGCAGTCCAGAATGTGTAGTAGATGACTCCCTCCTAATCAAACTCAAGTCCTGGTGTAATAGGGGTAAAAGCCTTATAATAAGCGACTTTATTGAACCAAATACAAACTGAGTAGACCTAGAAATAGGGTCATCGACAACGTCATTTGATTGCAAACTATTCGAAAGCTTCATCGCACTAGTTTTATTACAGTACTTTAGAGATCCCACCAGATATGACTTAAGAAGCTCATCGTCTCTCTTGGACTTAATCTTCACACACGGTGATGACGTCCGGCGGATGAATTTTTCTACCACTTCAAGGGAGAAACAGTCATCTTATTCAAGTTCATAGCTGACATTGCCTGTTAAACAGTTGCGCCGGCCCGTCCTTACATATGGAAGGCATATATGGAGGCAATTAACTCTGCAGCATCGGCTGAAAACTGGATAATCGACTCAGAGACATCAGTAGAAGAGACATTGACTAATTTCAGACAGTTATATAATCAGGTGACCCACCCATACATATCCCGAACAGTCCCAAAGAAGAAGAAGAAGAAGCAAAGTCATTCCTGGATAGGCCGGGATATTCGACGTTTGCTAAGAAAAAATAAGAAATGTTGGAACGTTGCCATCAGCCTTGGCGCAGCAAGCACTGTGGAACGTTACAGGGCGGTAAGAAATAAATGTATAATTAAATCCAGGGAGCTCAGGGAAATTATGAAGTGCAGTTGGCACAATATGCACTCAGTCAGCCCGAGAGACTATTCTCGTATATAAATTACGGAACAAGGATGCATCATTGGATTACCAACCTAATTAATGAAGGGAGTGAATCTGAAATGATAGAGGATGGTCACGAAAAAGCAGAGGCAATGGCAAACTCTTTTGGGGCAGTTTCACCCAGGATCCTCTTCTAGAGGAAGGACTAGACCCAAATACAAAGTCAACATGCCTGCTGCTCACCGTGGACTTCGAACAAGACGATGTACTTGAGGCTCTTAACACCTTACATACGGGAAAGTCAACAGCACCGGATGAACTAAATCCCTCAAATCCTGAGGCGGACTGCACAATATATTTCAGCCCCACTAACTGCGATATTCAATATGTCACGTGACCAAGGTGTGCTACCTATGGAGTGGATGGGTGCAATCGTCATTCCTATACATAAAACAGGATCAAAGCAACTTCCATCGAACTACAGACCTGTCAGCCTCACCAGTGTCGTAGTTAAAATACTGGAAAGAATAGTCAAAAAGACCATAGTAACATTTGTGAAACACAACAACCCCTAAAGGGAGAACAATATGGTTTCACGAAAGCTTTATCTTGCACAACAAACCTTCTTTAAGCAAGGGAGCAATGGATAAAGGCACTAGAGGATGGAAAATTAGTGAATGCTATCTACATAGACTTAGGCAAAGCATTTGACAAGGTGACAATAAATAGAGTATTATTGGAACTAAAAAATCTTGGCGTTGCTGGACCTTTCCATAAATGGTTTAAAACTTTCCTAGTAGGTCGTATACAGAAAGTAAGAGTAAATTAAGAGCGCTCCACCTGAAAACCAGTAATATGTGGAATACCTAAAGGTTCTGTCCTAGGTCCCTCACTTTTTATATTGTGCGTAAATGATCTCCCAAGCGTGTTACTATACGCTGACGATGTAAAAATCTGGAGAGAAATAAAAGGAAACTCAAATACATGTGCACTTCAGGTAGACTTAAATATTGTGATTAACTGGTCTAAAGAGTGGCTAATAACTATTAACGCGGCAAAGTGTGTCTACATGCACTTTGGGGATACAAAGGTAAATAGGTACAACATAGGGGAAGTGACTGTACCCGTGGTCTGGTCTCACAAGGATCCTAGGGTGGCAGTCAGTCACGATCTTAAGACCACGGCCCATTGCCGTGAAATTAAAGCTAAGGGGTTTAGAAACCTATAGGATTTAAGACAGACATCCACTAAGTTTGATACTGTCATGTTCACTACAGTATACACAATCTTAGTGAGAACTGAGCTCGAGAACTGCGCTTAGGCTGCAAGCCCCTGTTTAAAAGATGACTCGGATATCCTGGTAAACGTACAGAGGGCAGCTACCCGTGCAATTCCAGAACTCCGGAGTTTACCATACAGAGAGCGGCTTGAAAAGCTGGACCTCCTTACCCTGTCCTATTGCAGAATAAGAGGCGATTTGATTTTGATGTTAATTATACTAAAGAATGATTTTGGACCTAACATATTTTCTCTTTTTCTTCCCACTAGATCTGGACATCTCAGAGGACATAGCAGGTGAGTAGAAAAGCCTAGATCGGATAAAATACATTCAATTAACTGATTCAAGAGGAAACAAGACACTCACAGAAGCATACTAGATAAGGAACAACATAAGCCGTAGGCCTTCAGTCCTTACTATATAATTCTGAATCTGGTGTGTTTTAGTTTCTCGAAGACATTTTCCTTCTCAAGGTTGCCCGTCAAAGCTTTATATTGGACACTTGCATTCGAATGGTACTGAGTTTTCCGTCAGAGGGTTTGAACATCACTCCACAGTATCTCCTTAGACTGTATGAACTGATCTGATTTGTCTTACACTGTGTTTGCCGCAGATAAAAATGACTAAGGGACGATCAATATGCATGTCGTAAGCATGGAATTTATTGCATCATACATATTGGCTTTAGGCAATTGATTTTGTTTACTCTCATTCATGCCACTATAACTGCATATGAAGCATTTCTCACAAAAACGTTGGAGTTTTAATTCATTTCCGTCATCACTATGCAACTAGATGGGATGGACTCACTTATTAGTTGCTATGTTGACTCACTTCAGATCCTTCCTTTGGAAATGCAGTCCAGAATAACCGCATACCTTCAGTCAGATCTACAACAACGTCACTTACTAGCACTAGTTAGGCGCACTGTGGATGAGATGCAAAAGTCCGTGGAGCATAGTACCAAAAGGAAGCATTTGGACCAACTCATATATGTTTTAGTTGCTATCCAAAACATATGCGACCGTCGAATCAATGATCTGGATGAAGTAAGTCCAAAAATTTGCTGCAAATGTCTGACGTTTACTTAGGGATCTCTGTAGAACTTGTCTAATATCTATTCTCGGTGGTTTTCCTATTATTGACTCACCGACTATGAACGAATTCACATACTCGGCTCTCCTTCACTCCAAGTGTGAGGCCTGATGATATTATTCGTTTTTCCAGAGCTTTATTAAGTAAATCTGGATTCACACCTGCTATCTAGTGTCCGGAAGTCAAGCATCGTAACCACTGAGTCACTGTCTCACAATTTTTCTCTTTCGGGTGTTTGGCATTCTGGCTTTCGCACTAGATAGAAAAATAAGACACTTCTGCAATTAATATCACCCAATAGTTACTCCTGTGTTCGACCGAATGGTATTTTGAAAACTTAGAAGGGTCGAAAGACAGGTTGCTTGTTCAGTTTCTGAATAAGCGATCATACGTAATTGTGTGTGGGAGCTAATGCAATTAACAGAGACATCTAACACAAGGAAGTTGTTATGATAACCGTCTGCTACATCTCTTCTGCGACCACTAGTTTTCTGAGAATTATCAAGTTCTGGTTAAAGGTCTAATATTGTCGCTTTGGAGTAGAGGTTGTTTCGGGGTTCTGGAATATGTGGTCAATTCCAGATAGTGTCAGTTGATCTACCCTAATAAACACAAAGTGAATACACTTCTTATTTCAAATGTCAGTGTCAGCTATTTATTTGAAACATTCAGGTGGCACCTGAAAAGCAGTCAGCCAGGAGAAACATTAAACATGTCTTATGTGCATCATCTGAATTCACTTCATCAATATAAAAAAAGTAATTACCAAGATAACTACTGAAGTGGTACTAACAGTAGTGGTAGTAGTAATAAAATCTTTAGTAAAGAAGACAGATGATGTGACGAGTTCGGAAGCGTATCACGATTGGCTCTGAAAGTGGCAGTTGTGTAGACTTAATGTTAATCCTGGCACAGCGTGTTGTTTATCTATCGTCGAAACAAACTGACTCAGTCGTTAAAACGTTTAACCAAACCATTAATTCAAACATCCAAATTCTATCCCTACCCCCAAGGACCATTTCACGTAACTAGATCTGATGCGAAAATATTTACATCAAAGGAGAGTAAACAAATCCGTTTTATTGGTTTTCTAGATATAATTTGTAATGAAAATAAGAAACTAAAGCCATAGGTAGAACGCCTTTTGGGAACGTCCAACTAGTCGTTAGCTACTCCCTATCCACCCACAAATTGGATGTTATTAAAGTCATTATCAACGTAATCAACCAATGTTGAAAAAACACCAAGTACCATAACTATGCACAACATCCCAAACTCAGAATTAACACAATACTAACTGCCTCCAAAATGAGCTATATCTTTTACTAGGGGACGTTAAATGTAATGGGACACCAAGATACTCATCACTTGAAAAAGGACAGTTGTGAAAAAACAGTAAAAGACAATTTAGATTCAGTACGCGATTAGGAAGTGTTAAAGAATACAGTTCACAACCAATATATATTCTGCTCAATACGAAGGTACATCTTATTGTTTTTGAGTAACATTAAAAAGTACAGCGACATAATTGTTGATTTTTGAATTCACGTCTAATTATCCCCCCAAACTATTAAATCACATGATCTTCAAGAGTTTAAGCTAAGAAGCTAATCGAAAATAACTTTACTATTTTTCAGAGCTGTTATAAGTTGAACCCCTTTGTTATTTACACACATGTCAGTAAGTAATGAACAATATGGAGAGTTGTTAAGACGACGCTTGTAAAATATGTCAAAACTGTGAACCTAATGTTTCTAAGTGAAAGCACTTAGTACATTGTTTTGAATGTTGCCTTGATGATTAACACGTTATAGGTTAAAATAATCAACAAGGTTCTCATAGATAAGTGATGTACAATAGTATGGTGTGTTCGACTGATGGCTTCTCACGAAACGGTTTTTAAGCAAACTCACCAGTGAACTGATGAAAGGACAACATATCCCAACAGAATGGAATCCTTTTAGTAAAATGATGTACCCGTTGACTCATGATCACTGTGCAATTGTTACCTAGTTTGAAGTATTCTACTACGATTTAGAAAGGTGGTAATTTCACACCATACATAATTCTTAGCAAAACATTTGTTCCCTGCAGTTATCTCGTTCATGCTACTAATTAGTATCACAGGTTTTTCTTTTAAAATCCCCTAGCAATAAAATGCTCCGATAAATAATTACTTTTATGGGGTATCCCCGCTCACTTAAAACTCAAACACTGGGCATGTTATTCACAACACACTTCGTAGAAATGTTAAGTTTTTTTGTGTCACTGTGTACTCTTCGTTCCTCGACCTCACTCATTCCTTCTTAACTTGTACCTAGGTTTCCACTGCAGTAAATAATAATAACCTCTCTCTCATCACTAAATTGCTGGATGTGCTGGTGTAAAATTTAGTTATGATGCACATTAAGGATTTTAACTTATCGATGACTGGTTCAATGATATGTTTACCACTTTCACTCAACTATTTATTGTTTCTCATTTTGCTTAATTATTTCTTGAGAATATGAGATTGTGTCTTAGACTTGCCAAATGTCAAGGAGTTGATAACTAGATTTGTCACTGTATGCTAGTTGTCATGAGCTACCGTATATAACTTTTTAAATCTATGTAGATTACGAAATTTGATATTTTTTTCCACAAAAAATTTTCATGTCTGGTTTTACCACAATCCTTTTACATTTTTTAAAATTTTGTTCGAAAAATTTATTCAGTTAGATGAAGTAATTGAAACCCATTCTTTAAAGCTGATGAATGCTAAAATGAAAGTTGATACAATTGATCCTCAACGTACTCGTTCAAATACGGAAAATGTCCCTGAAAGTGAAGTCGATACCAGTGATCTAGAAGTGTCTAATCCCCAATACAATTGCAATTTACTACGGCGCAACTTATCTCATGAATCAAGTTTCGATAAGTGCACTAGCTACTCTATACCAAACACACGATGTAGTGATGTAAGCATACGAGGTAAAGAACGCTTCCCATTACGTGCTGTTAGCACTAATAGTCGAACTGCATCACGTCGATCACTGAATAAATGGGTTCCCGGCGTTCATCGCTTCAAGCCTGCTAATTCAATGGGCAATAGAAATGCCAACAACTCTCTAAAGTCCAAAGGTGATGCTAACAATAAGTCAACAAATAGGACTTCAGTGGAACTCAAACAACATAAAGTGGGTGTAACATATACTCGTTACTCTCGAAGTCAACAACAGAGATTCAAAAGCCATCGTGTATTGCCAAGATCACTTCACCCGAACCGTGCAAGACCTCAGTACTTAGAGTACGCTATGCTGAGACATGGTTCTCGGAGGAGAAGAAATACGGTGTCGAAATATACTAATCCCGACTCTTCTCGAAATTGTGAGGAAACAAATCTCGTAGGTAGTGTGAAGCGACGACATGAACAAAGCCATCCTAGCTTTTACAAAAACGACAATTGTTTTGGTTCATCTAGTAAATCAATAAGTGATATAAATATTGAAGATAAAACAGAAGAGAGTGATGTATATACCCTACTTAGTTTAAAGAGCCCAAAAAAGTTGGGAGATAGGTCATCTGATTGGAATAGCAGTTATAATGAAAATGAAAATGTGGCTGATGTAGATTGTAGTGACAGCAATGGTCATACCACATATGACATGGGATGTGATCAAAACTGTTCTTCGCAGGAAACACAAGTCATCAGAACACTAACTAATCAACTAACAAACGCTCAAAGTGGTGAACCAAGTCGTCAAAAGATGTATAGACTCCGACGAGCTAGTAACAATGTACAGTCAACACAATCGTATCACAGACCCAATTCATCTTTCCCACCTGCATCACCAGAACATGGATCTAATCGCAATTGTTTAACATCTCAGAGTCTTAGCCACGGCAACGCTAGGCGAGGATGTCGAAGTAATAACACCGTACGTCACAAAATGGATCTTCAAGTAAACACACGGTCTCCTCCAGGAAATCCATTTAAGTATGGATCACATGCTGATGATATGAATGCATTTCGACACAAAGTAATATCGGAAAACAGCCCTAGTCATAGTATGAGTGAAGCAAGCGTCAGCCCAGATGAGCGTCTGTATTGCATATGCCAAAAAGTATCATTTGGCGATATGATAGCTTGCGACAACAAGTTCTGTGAGGTTGAATGGTTTCACTTCTCATGTGTAGATGTCCGGGTTCAACCTAAGGGTAAATGGTATTGCCCTTACTGTCGAGGAGAGTCTTCGAAAATAAAAAGATCCGATATCTAGTGTCGTTTTCACCCCCCTTAGAATCCATTATACAAATAAGGATTTTGCAAAAGCCAAGTCGTGGAGGTAATGCATAATTATTATTGTTTCTTCGAGTAATATTAAAAATTGACTTTCCCCAAACCTTCTATAACTTTCCTGGTTTCCAGTAATTTTGAACGAGCTTTTTGGTATGCTTCTGAATATTGAATAAGGACGTATATTAAAGTATAACCTACTTATTATCGTTGAAACATCCATGTGTGCAAGTGCTATCCTGTAAAAACATTCTTTATTAATCTTCAAATAGAGACTACCTACCTTCTTTGCTTCTCATCACCCGTTGTTGGACATCTGCTCATAGTCCTGTATAGATTGGACCTGCATGTAAAAAAAAAAACTCAGTTTCACTTCTCACGACAAAACTGCTTTTTATTCTGCACAAATTTATTATTGTTACCTACCATTTAGTATAATTTCTGAATAGAAAATATCTTCATTCTACAAACTTTTCTGCTTACTGACAAGTGTATGGTGTATTTATAGTATCGTATCAATAAGGTAGCGAATTTCCTAATTGGAAGTCCAATTGCTAGGACCATTGCTCGTATACTAGGTAAATGCGGCAAACCGACTGACGAGGTAGTAAATCTTTATCGATCGAAATAATGAGGATATAAGTTACGTATCCCTAAACACCCCCTACCTCTACGGGCCATTTAAGGTATAATAGTAGGCTAGAAGAAAGCTCTGGGTAGCAAAACGAAGACTTGGCACCAGTTGATGAAGCCATCAACAATTGGACTGAGCTATGTTAATAGGTGTAGACCTCCCCAGCTGGGATTCGCGTGATTATTGTAACTAATGGTTAGAGACTTGGCGTGACATGGCTCAGAATCGTTCGCAATGGAATAGGTGCATTCATTCTTTGGATCAAGGTCTTGGTGCTTACTATAGTCAGTGTCACAAGGTCTTCAAAAGTAAATTTTAAAAATGTATGGATTACTATTTATCTTGTAAAAAACGGATGGATGTCTGCAGATTGAAAATGGAGTAGTCCCGCTTGCAAACAAAAACAGCAGCTGACGGATATTGATTTAAAAAGATCACTGCAGTTAGGTAATGGGAATGTGCACAGAAGATTAGTTTTCAATAATCCTAGAGCTGTTTGGTTACTTACCAGCTTTGGATTGCACAATTTAGATTCAGAAATAGTTTTCCCGTGCTTTTTGTACGAAATCCATATTTCGCTAGGTTATTGCTCTGGAAATGTAGGGAAAGTCGTTTTAAGCAAACAAGCATGGACATCTAGTAATAAATAAAGCATCTTATAAATTGTACTAAGTGGGAGGGACTTATGTATTTAATGTTTGTACCTATAACGGTTAATTCAGAAATTCCATCCAACTTAATGACCGAGGTCTCACCATCTTAATGGCCATCAGATAAGTGAAAAGAAATATTTTTGTAAACCAACTTCAACACTAATAATACGGTGTCGGTCCATGAGTGGAGTATTGAGTGAATTAAATTTTACTGTCGATACAGACCAGCTTACAACTACCTTAAGATGAGACACTGCTTTACATTGAAACTGGATGGTGACCGCTCAACTGTAGATTGTAAAAATGTCTTTTCAGATTCCCGTAATTTTAGAATAACATTGTCGACGTTCACTTTAAATTTTGTACGTTGTTTGAAACAAACTTATTGATAATGGATTTGAAAAGTTTGATTATGTCTTAGAAAATCTTCGGCGCATCCTCGTGATTGAGACCTGTGACCGCAGGGTCAGTCAGTCAGTAACAACGTGGGACTTCGTACATACGTACATCAGTTCGAGTTGCCATATCACATTACAACAGAGATGCATTTATCGATTCAGATCCCGTAGTGTTAGAGGTGGTAAGAGTATAAGCAGTAATCGGAAAGATTAGGGTTTGAGGGTGTTATTCAAGGATTATAGTCGAGTGAAATAAATTTGGAAAGAGGAAAAAAGAAAGGGACATGAAGAATTCAGAAGATTAGAATTTGGGAGAACATAAGGAGTGGATGCACCTGCGCCATCGCAAACGATTTTGAGCTATGTCATTCAAGGTCTCTAACCATCGGTTGCTATCGTCTCGCGGATCCCAGCCAGGTAGTCTACACCTACCAACATGACTCAGTCCACTTGTCAGTGACTTCATGGACTTGTGCCATGTCTTGGTCTGGCCGCCCCTAGCTTTCTTCCAACCTACTCCTATACCATTGAACATCGCATGTCGAAGCAGTCGGTGGTTGGGCATACGTAGCACGTGTCCCAGCCATCTCAACTGATGAAGTTTCACTACTTCATCAATTGGTTTGCCATCCTTACCTAGTACCTGTTTCCTAACAACTGTATTACTTACTCGATGGTCCCAGGATATACGAGCAATGTTTCGAAGACACCTATGATCAAATACTAGTAACCTACGAATATCTTCTACTCTTACTGGCCATGTTTTACTGCCATAAAGTAGGATGGGACGAACTGCTGCACAGTAAACTCGTCCTTTGGTTGACAGACGGATATCTCGTCTACTCCATAAATGACGCAAGTTGGCAAAAGCTAGTCGAGTCTTCTGTATCCGTGCTGAGATTTCTGTGACCGCAGAAGTTAGAACTAATGTAGAATATAAGTTTATGGTTTCTACACAAATTAGGCACTTATACTGGGAAGTTTGCAGCTACTGATACAATTTTGTCAGTATTCGCATAAAAGAAAGTTTGTATATAAAATGCTCCTGGTCATTGTTTTACGAACTGCGTCTTGTTAAGTGGCTTTCGATCAATTTGCGCAAGACAACAAAACGTGGTTATTCTAATGTTCATTGATGATTCGTTAAGGTATCCAGTATTTTTGGAGGACTTTGTGTTATGAGTAAGAACCGATGTATAAGAACTATATAATCCAACTGAAACCAGGCTCAAATGCACTAGCTTTTATTTGTCTAAACATCTTTCCATAATTCAAATGGTTAGTCTGTCATAACTTTGCACACTACTCAACATAGACTGTAGAAGCGATAATCATTCCCTAGTCTCTGTATGTCCATCAGCTCTCCCGCATAGTGTGTTACGAGATGATTATTAGAAATTCGGGATTTGTTTATAAGGTGTTTTTTTTGTAATAAATCATTCCCAGTGAGCGAGGCAATAGCGTCTTTCATTTGAACAGGAAAGCTTCATTTATTGAAATCTACAAAAGTCAATCTAATTGGAAGGATTATATGTTGATTGCATTCATGATCATTATCGATAAACCCAACAGAGTAAACGAAAAATTATCAGTTCACCTATAATTTGACAGGCAATATTAAATGTAAGCATGACTTCTCAGTTTTAAGAGCATTATCCATCTAAGAAAAAGTTTCAGCGTCACATCGTTTACTAATTTCATGTTGGCATTTTCCATCAAGTACGTAATCGTGTTGCGTTTCATACTCACTTCAAATGATCCAGGTATTTTGGCAAATGTGGGGTCCTCTAGTTGGCATGTTCCACCTATAAAAAATCTTCTTAGTTCCTCTACAACAGAATCTCCTACTGGGCGCCAACAACTCACAATAATTGAGTGAGCACCTGCAAAAAGTAAATAGTATAATTTTACGCGTACCATTGGGCTTTTGATGTTATTAACTCACAACTCAAGAAAAATTCAATGATAATCGATACTCTGCCAAACTTCATATATTCGTAATATTTCTGTCTCCACATCATAACGTTTATTAAATCAATGTACCAAAACATGTCGCTTTTTAATAAGTCACAACGTTAAGCCGTTAGAGGTAGCTTTAGGCTGCGAAATCCAACTAAAATGGGCTGGGTTCTAACGGATCGTTAACTGTCATGCTGTCAGCTAATATGGAGTTTTTTCTTTGTAAGAAACATTGGAATGTCCTAGAGAAGAACCAATGTACAAGTATTAACCATTTTTTTATCTTCTTTGTGTACATTTCATGCTTCAGTGACATGACTTTTGAGTCAAGTGGGTTACTATAGACAGTCAAATGGAATTAATAAAGTTGCATGTCACAAATGTCTGAGATGTTTTTGCGTGTATTTATTCAAGATTACTTGACATTTTAGTATTCGCAAGTGTTTCCTAGTCAGAGTCTATGAAACCGAGCAAATTTATTTAATCTTACCAGCAATGCGCGGAAGTTCTGTGAATCCATACCCTTCAGTTCGACTCCGAGTCCAAAAGTCAAGCGACTGGACTTCAAAATACAATGTAGGCCATATTGAAACTGGTCCTTTCGTTAAGTCTAGAAGAGAATTAAAGTGTTTTAAACATATATCTCTGTAAATAAAGTTGGTGGTATTTACTCCTACATGATCTGTTGCTTAGAAACGTATATCACTCATCTTGGTTTCAAGTTTTCATTTAGTCATTACCGGTGTTTTCACAGTGAACTGTTATTTAAAATATTTCTCTTATTAATTATGTGAAAGACTACACTTCCAAACACTTTATGTATTCTGTTGGTTTGACATATTATTTACTTCTGCATTTTTTAGCCTTAGTTCCGCCTGATTTAAAAAATACCATTATTATTATTATTATATTGGATCTCAAGGGGCTGCTTTTTCAAAAGATTTCCTATTATTCACCATTTTGTAAAATAAGATCTAGATAGATGAAAATGACGTCCACGTAAAGTCACAGACAAGAATTTGATTATCCTTGGTTTAGTGGATGGTTTGTGCGATCGACAAAGAGTAGAATAAACTCACACCATTTAAAGTTGAAAGTAAATGACTCTTAATTCTTCTTGCAAATGCTTTTTATTCATGAACCTCATTCTCTTCCATTATATATTTATATTTGTCACTAGGATATAGTATTAAGGTCGTTGTTTCAATTACACATTCTGAGATCTTCATACAGTATCCATTCGTACCATATTGAATAAAGCGAGTATTTTTGACATGTATTTACGCTAAACCAGTGCTGACATGCTCGGATAAAAATATGACATTATTTAGGTCAATATTTCTTGCATCAGTTCATTATAAATTTCGATCAGGGCGACGGGTGTGAACTTCGTTCAGTGGGACGATTGTATTTCCCGCATCCATTAAAGTAAACTGTATCAAGTACTCGACGAAGTTTCCCCTATGTGTTATATTATTGAGTGTAAAAATTGGTATGTAAGTTACTGTATTTTGGTCCAATGACGACTTGTTTGAAGACATATTTTTGGGAAATAATGAATCTTAATTCCACCAGTGTTTTGTGTTTTCAATTTGCGCCGTGGGAATTGCAGTGGTTCCCGTTTCCAAGTAAAAGCGGTAAGATTGCGGACACAACCAAGTCAACATGCACATTAACAGAGGAGATATAACAAATACATTATTGGTTTATACAATTAAATATATATAAGTGTGCAACAGTTTGGCAATATCCTGTTATATGTTAGTTTTACTTACCGATACTTATTTCAGGTTTATATGTTAGGTCAAATTCGATCGGATGTGAAAACATAATTATTTCTTCCTACAAGAGATAATTTCAGAATGTAAAAGTAACAAATTGTTAGGAAATAAGTTGTCAGAGTCAGTCGATTTATTTCAATCAGAAAGGTAACAAAGTTTGTATTTCACTTTCGTAGAATTTCTTCCTTTACAAAATATCGAACTCTTTCAATGCTTTCCGAAAATCTCAGTTGGAAACTTCGATACATATGCATACCATGATGATTCTGTAGAAGGAGCCTACAGTTAAAAATCAGTACAAATCATATTGGATAATCGAAATGTAACGATTTAGTCTGCATACCATCATTAAAATAAACTAAGATATTTTATATCTAATCCAATGGTATACAGATATCAGAGTTGACTTACGTTTCCATAATTTTTGATAGAGGCTATCTGGGAACTTCCACATAATAGCTTATGATCATACGCTTTCCAGTCTGAAATAATATGGTTCTATTAAGTACGAATTCACTTTGTGGTAATTCAAGATAATATTGTACATACAATCCAGGGTTTTCAAAGTTAGTCGCACCCACTGAAATAACTATTAAAAGATAACTTACTTATCTCTCCAGCGATAAAAAGCCTGTAACTTTGTTCATTTGGCTATGCATATGTTAGAATTTTGATCGACTACATACCATTTCAAACTGTTTGCCGATGGAGGCACAAAAGTGAGAATATTTTCTAAGTGTTATCTACATATTGGGTTAAAGTTACGTTCTAAATCCACCTCTTTATCCATGTTTCTTATTTTCTGTTTGTCCAGATCAGACATTTGAAGTGAAATATTTTCCAACGTAAAATAATATGACCCTAAGAGTATACATTTGCTAGTAGCAGATTAAACCTTTTTGTTTGCTTTTTATTTTGTACTTAACAGACCCGCGAGTAAAATCAGGTTTGCAACGTAAAAGTCCATTAGAATCAATAGTTATCTTGCAGAGGATTTCTTCATTGCCCATATAAAGAGGCGATAAGTCTGCAGCATCATTTGGAATATCACTACTTAAATCGGCCATTATATACATCTCTTGGGTTATTCTAGTAGGTAGATGACTAACGTATCTATAATAGTCAGGAGGAAACTCCAACAACATTTCATTTGTTGGCATAGGACTTCAGGTTTCGACACATTAATTAATACTTACTTTGATAGATTGTCTAGTTTTAACTGGATGTTAGATCTTCGTTTCTCAGGATATGAGATAGTTCCAATGCCATCCACGAATATCTAAGAAAATCTATAACAAAAATATCACATACGTCTCTTTCTACTGATATTTCGTCCTTATGGACATAAGTGAATAATCTTTTTGTTGGGAATCCTGAACCTCTTCGTATATTTTTAGAATAATTCAGACTCACTTCATATTGCTTATTTCCTTGTTGTAAAGTAGTTGCGTTTCAGTCGTACAATTTTTCGGTCCCTATAAAGAGCCTTTTCTTTCTACAAAATTGGAAATTAGATATGAAGACTTCGTAAAAGCATCAAAAAGGTGTAAAAAATACATCTTATATATATTAATCGTTGTAATGCAATATCTGGGAGAGTATGTTTTCTAAATTTAGATGGGTGCTAATGCTTCAATTGCTGTCTTCACTGAAATATAGTGCTACCATAATCATTAAGAAACATTGATCTTCAAATATTTTATTACTATATATTATTTTATTTGGACCCATAAACATTGGTACAAGGGGGCACTAAATACATATGTGCCACACAATAATAATGAGGCCAGTAGCAGTTATCATTGACTTATATGAGGGCTGTGATACTGCCCGGGTGCCCAAACTGAAGCAGGTGGCTTTGTTGGGGGTCCACACCCCAAGCCTTTGATCTGAAGGTAGATCTAGTTCCATAGCCATAAATCTTAATCTAGCTCTATTTGAAAAGGAGAGCGAGGTAATGTTGCATTGATGTTTTAGCTTCATATCACTGGAATGTAGTAGTGCACCCATTGTTCAGAATAATCCACTTGATTCTGATGTTGAAACTGTTTCTCACCTCTCAATATACAAAGATATTCTTTTTCTAGTCTTTTTTTTCATTTTAGTACGCATCTTGTCATGGGGAACACACTTAGTTTATAGTGACACACAGGAACTGTCGTAGTTAACAATAACATCAAGCATCCAACAAGAAGTAATCGATGCACTTCAAGTGTTTGTTGTGAGTTTGTCATTCGGAATATCCTAAACTTGGTCACCAACTGCATCCAGTTATCATCTTTATATAGGTTTCTCACTGAATGTGGCAGATTATTTGTAGACACCTGATACTGCTGGGTCGTGAACTGCGGACGTTACGAATTAATTTCTCTAAAATTTACACGTAGATTTCTATTGGTTTGATAAATTGAGGTACTAGGTGAAGCAATACCTAATCTTAATCCAATAATTCTTTTGTGGACTGCATTATCGGTTTCCAGGTTGAAACATTCAGAGTTCTTAAATCATCACCAGATATACAAGTACAATTTCAAAAGTCAAAGTGCTGAAAACTAATGAAACTAAGAAATCAAATAAGTTTCGTGAAAGCTACATTTCAACCTATAAAGGCACTATCCTGATCATAAGATGTACGTAAAAACTTGAGCATTCATAGTTTAAATGCATCGCGTATTAGTAACTTTGCACTTCCGTTCTAATGATTAAGCTTTTCAAGTCGATAGTTGAACTCTGTTACTTTCAAAAGTCACTTCATTACCTTACATGAATCAATAAGTACACATGTGAAATATTGTAGAGAATATATCTTTGAGAATTTCTCATAAATTGTGCAAATTCCAAGACGGAGCACCGTGCGAAAGCTATGACAAAGTTCTATACAACGTAAAATGCCGACAGTACATCATTATCAACGCTAATGTAGACGTTCTCCGATATTAGGGGATGGACTTTGAGGAATAATAGCATTACCTCTATTGCTTAACAGGGGTTCAGATGCGTCGATAGCATCAAACTCTGTGAAGACGATATATTTGTCGAGTAACTCTACTGAGTCATCCATAAACACACGCTTGTACCACACAATTTTGTCAATGGTTACTTCTCGACAAAACTGGCAAATAGTATGGGTGTTTGGATTTCCTATAGCGTAGACACAAAACTGCATTGTGATGGATAGGCATTTATTTGCAAATTAATTGCGCCCCTTTAGTTGCCGAAATCGTTACTGGTACCTTCTCTGAAGAGCTCTAGAAACCACAGATTATAAAGATTGAGTCAAAGGAGACACGAATAGTGTTGATGGTCGATCGTAAGTTGTAATTCAGTCAGTCTTCAGTAATAAGGATAGTAGGTTGGTGAGCCTGTATTAATCCTGACACATTGCTTTCCAGTGAAGGTCCAGCTTTTCCTTGAAATTATTCACTGATGGGGCTGATACCTACTACTTGTTATTGAGAATAATACATTTATCACGGAAAACATCTGATGACGGTCTTTCTTATCGCTTATAAAAGCTTGTATAGCAGTTTTCTGGATATAAGTCATGACTCGTTACTCGATAAGTTCCAAGATTACCAAGAACAGAAAAAGTGTATGCACTAACATATGATTCACAATATATTTGAAAGTCATTGAAGTGCACCCCAGTCAACAATTCTTAATGCCACATAATCGAATGATACTCGACGATGTCCCTAACCAAAACTAAATTGCATTCACTTGTTAGGTACCACGCAACTAAATGGATAAAAAACTTCTTGGTCTTTCAAAGTTGCTTGAGGATCAGATCGGTTCTTCCGTGCCTACTTTCCAAAACCCCATGAAATAAGATGATTCTCCAGCTTAAGGCCATATATACCTACTAAACAATAAATTTAAGTTTACATAAGCTTATATTTAGAATATATTCCATACAGCTTGGTAAAACATTTTACCAAGCTGTATCTCAGACACTTCTTGTGTGGACACATCTCTCTTAACTTTTTTAGAGTTTTTTTCACAAAACAATTCGCATTACTAACAACATTTTTACTCTTGAACACACTTACTGGACTGAAAATCTTTTCCTGCCAATGAAACACATACTCTTCTTCCAGATACTGCTCCTCTGCCTTACTCCGCCGACAGAACAATTTAACCCTGATTTAGAAAATTAAACAGTCTGATACCTAATGGAAAAATTCCGCAAAGGACCAGTTATAACATAGGTTTCAGAGTCAAATCCATCCATGACTGCTTCGCGCGCCCAAATAAAGGATCTCTGTGGCAACGACAGCTAACGTTGTGGAGATGGTTGATGAAAACTGATTCCGTAGGAAATTTTCTTATAACCATAATCTCAGTTCGCATAGGCCATTGTTATTGACTACTTTAACACTAGTAACGGTAAGACAGAAGCGACCGTTGGCTTGAGATATTTGTTTATTCGGTTCGTTGGAACGATAGTTTTGTTTGGGCAATCGTAGTTATCCAGACGGTGACCAAGCAAAGAATTTGGATCCATCTTATCAATAAATTTAAGTTATTGCTTAAGTTTGACTCTTCATTTACATTTTGGTTCCTCTCACATGACACGCCTGTGGAGGTATATCAGTTTCAGTTTGGGAAGGACAGGAGGCCTGATGCCCTGTGTTAGTCCTGGTAATGGTGGTCCCTCAGTTGATCCAACTTTCTTTTGAAAGATTCGACGGATGGAGCCTCAACCACGTGCTGAGGTAATGAGTTCCACTCGTTGATGACTAGATGAAAAAGTCGATAGTCAGCTGACAAGTAATCTGTTCCTGGCTTCTGAACTTTTATGGAGTGTCCTCGTAAATTCTCTGTTTTGGAAGACAAGAAAAATGAGGGCGTATCAGGTGCAAATTTGGCACTAAGCAATTTGAAAACTGTAACCAAGTCGTCCCTAGTTCTGCGATATGACAACGGGAAAAGGTTCAGCTTGGCCAGTCGAGCTTCATACGAAAGCTTCGCTACTCCGGTAATCAGCTTAGTTGCCGTTCTCTGAACCTTTTCCAGAAGCTCACCGTCTTTTTTTAGGCAGGGGCTGGCCGCTTGTATGCAGTACTCAAGTTTAGAGCGTACGAACACTGTATACAAAGTCAAAAACGTCTTAGCGTCGACATGACTAAAGGCCCTACGTATTGACCATAAAGTTCTAGAACCTTTGGCGGCTATTGCACGGCAGCGTGCAGTAGTCTTTAAGTCTTGGCTAACGATGACTCCCAAGTCACTATGTGTCTGGACGACAGGTAGCTCAGTGTTATTCATCGTGTATGTATCTGTACCTTGATGACCGATATGCATCACAACACACTCGGAAGTATTTATCGGCAACTGCCATGTTTGAGACCATTCAGATAACTTCTTCAGGTCATTTTGAAGTTCTAAGCTATCACTCTTACATCGTATCGTTCTCCATATCTTGACATCGTCAGCATATAGCAAGACCGAAGATGATAGGAGACGAGGAAGGTCATTTACATACAAGAGGAATAGCACTGGCCCCAAAACTGTACCCTGGGGCACTCCACTAAGCACAGTTCCCCAGCTAGATAACTTTGAGTTCACCCGTACTCGTTGTTGGCGCCCAACTAGGAAGTCTTTTATTTAGATTAATAGATTGTCTCCAATTCTAACATTTCTTTGCTTATATAACAGCCGGTTGTGCGGAACCTTGTCAAAAGCTTTGCTGAAATCAACGAAGGCCTAGTCTTCACATAACTTCTGGTCTTAAAGAGCTCACCATCTTTCACAGGCCACTAATAAGTTAGTGAGACAAGAGTAACCTATTCTGAAAGCGTGCTGCTTCTCCAAATGGATCCCGTTTTCATAGAGATACTTAAACAGCTCCCTCCGAATAATCTTTTCTAAGATTTTTACAACCACACTAGTTAGGCTAACGGGGCGGTAATTCTCAGGTTTGTGTCTCGTACCTGGTTTGAAGACAGGACTTACTATGGCGTTTTTCCTGTCTTTGGGTAAACGACCCAGCGTTACGGATAGGTTAAAGCATATACTTAAAGGGTTCGCAACGAAGTTGGATAATTCCTTCAGTAGCCTAGGATGTAATTCATCGGGCCCTGTGGATTAACCTATGTCAAGCTTATTTAAAAGACCATATGATAAAGCTTTTTAAGTCTACAGCATTGACGCTGGCCTCATTATTTTTTTCTGAATATGCGTTGCACTAAAGGCAGCCGGTCAAGCATCCACACTAGATGACGTCTGACTACGCCGTGTTGTGCTTCCTACGCATCAGCTATTCAGCTCAAACCGTATATGCTTTGAAAAATTGACCATCTCCCTAATATATCTTTGAACAATTCAATTCTGACTGCTGGTTTGACTGACTTTAGAATCTATAGTTGAAACTGTGTTAACGACAACAACTTTCTCAAGCCCTGAATATTCATGACAT